CAAATTTGGCCAAGTCTTTGAAAAATCTCAGTTCAAAGAGGCAACAGGCAGCTTTAACACTGGCATTCCCTAACTCTTGAGCGCTTGACTTTGCAACCTTAATGTTCTTTTAATGTTGTTTTTTGGATATAATAAATAATAGACCTGTGAAGCTCCAGAACATACTGGCATTGGGTGTGTTTTAAGACAGGAAGCTGCAAGTCGAGTGTCTTGACTCACCCAAGACCTGCAGCAATCTAGCATTTCTTGAGCTGTTGGGCGGGAGGGATAACTCAGTGGTTTGAGCGTTGGCCTGCTAAACCCAGGGTTGTGAGTTGAATCCTTGAGGGGGCCACTTGGGGATCTGGGGCAAAATCAGTACTTGGTCCTGCTAGTGAAGCAGAGAGCTGGACTCAATGACCTTTTAAGGTCCCTTCTAGTTCTAGGAGATGGGATATCTTTATTAATTATTATTATTATTGACTTTAGAAGATGTTATGTGATTACATATTAGCAGCGAGACCTGGCTCATGCTGCTATACTCTATACCAGGGGTCGGCAACCTTTCAGAAGTGGTGTGCCGAGTCTTCATTTATTCACTCTGATGTAAGGTTTCGCATGCCGGTAATACATTTTAACGTTTTTAGAAGGTCTCTTTCTATAAGTCTATAATATATAACTAAACTATTGTATGTAAAGTAAATAAGGTTTTCAAAATGTTTACGAAGCTTCATTTAAAATTAAATTAAAATGCAGAGGTCCCTGGACCAGTGGCCAGGATCCGGGCAGTGTGAGTTCCACTGAAAATCAGCTCGTGTGCCGCCTTCGGCACGCGTGCCATAGGTTGGCTACCCCTGCTCTATACTAAATCAGTCCTGACTTTCATAAGCCTGTCAGATTTCTTCTTCCATATGACTCAATTTATAATAATGCAATGCTTTCCCTGCCATCCTAGAAATAAGAGTAGGGGGATTTGTAAAGTTTACCTATGTCAGCAGCGCTTCTGTGCCTCATTAGCTTGTTATCAGAAGACTATTCACTCTGCAGCATAGGATAACACCTCTGTCTGTGCTCACCCTGCAGGGCTGACAGGAGATCAAGCTGTCCTAGCTATCTCTAAGTCTAGCCACACTCCACTTAAGCACAAAAGCATGCAGTCAAGTCAACTTATTTGGATAGAGTCTGGAGTGATTAAGCTGTCTCCAAGCCTTCTCAGAGCAAACTGATTGTTCTGATTTGCACACTTCATTTGAGCAAGGTGAGCTTCTCTCCAGCAACGCATGACCCATCACATTTGCAAATGAGAATGCTCATTTCTGTCTTCTCTAGTTTAAAAAGGCATCTGAACCCTTTATTGGTACTCCACCTTCTGGTAAGATTTATCCTACAATTATATTCAGTATCATTCACAGCAAGATAAGAGTCATGGAGATATACATCTCCTGACACAATGGGCCAGATCCTCAGCTTATGTAAATCAATGTGGCTTCACTGAAGTCAATGGAGCTATGCCCATATACATCAGCTGAGGATCTGGCCCCAGAAAGCCCAGTGACATGGCAGGCAAGTGGCAAATTCAGATTTTCTTTTGTTAAACTGAAAAATGCCAGCAGAGGCTAAGAAACAATACACAGTAAAGCTGCTGCTTCTTCAGGTCAAACACCTTTGATCGAAACGACATAGTTGAATTAAACTGACTTGCTCCCAAATTGAAATCCCAAGGTTCTTCCACACTTGAAAAAGCATGAAAAATCTCCCTTCTGCTTTGGATGGATTTTTGCCTTATCAGCAGAAACAGGACCAGTTTAACGCAAAGGAGGAGGAAGTTCTCTGAGATAAAGTCATTAGGGACTTTTCAGTATTGATTCTCCAGAGGCTGGGCACAGGACTGATAAATTTTAAAATGTCAGTGGCATTAACTCAAAGCAAAGGACTTTGATTATAGGTCTTTAAGACTAAGGAGAGGATGAAGCTCTGAAAGGAGGAGGACGGGTGACGAGAGAGTGAAGGAGCTGTAAAAAGAAAGAGGCTATTCCTTTCACTCAAAGGCAATGAATATTTGTCTGAAAACATTAGAAAAATGGATACATCTGGCTTAGAGAGTAGAGGTGATCAGGAATTTTTCACCAAAAACTTTTCTCTGAAAATGCCGATTAATCTAAACCCAAACTTTTCCCAGGAAAGGGTCAGTTCTGACAAATTTCTTGACTCGAAAACATTTTGAAAAAAGGTTTTGAAGTTGTCAAAACTTTTCATTTCAACATATTCAAAATGAGAAATTCTGGTTTTCCAGTCTGAAATGACTTTTCATTTTGAAATATAAGCTGATTATAGTAAAAATTAAGACTGAATAAAAATGATTGAAAGCTAAAGGAAATGTTTCAAAATTATTGAGGTGAAATGTTTAGATTCCAACTTTTTATTTAAAAAAACAGATTTTCAGTTTGTAAAAATTTTTGAGATTTTGCTTTTTCAAATTTTTTGAAATCTCAAAAACTTTTGCAGAACAAGAAAACCATTTCCTTTCTAGCTCTCTTATAGTAGGAATCTGATTTCTAATTTTAGCCAGATTCATAGACTGTTTATCAGACTCTATTGACCTAACAAAGTTCATGGTAACAATATACTTCTATGTACCATTTATTCTGACAGATCCCAATACACTTTAGAAGCTATGGGCTAGATCCTCAACAAAGTTCCCCTGAAGTCAATGGAGCTACACCAATTTACATCACCCGAGGATCTGGCCCTATATATAAACCTCCATCCCTTAAACCCCCGCAACATAAACTCTAAATAGAAGGAAATGCCAAGGGACAACCTCTTAACCATAGTCTAATGTTCACCACAGCAAGTTTCTTCTGACAGTAACAGACTCCATCTCATCACAAGGAACTTACTTCTGCCTCCTACTTATAGGGAAGCATGGTACACACAACACATTAACTTCTCTTGCAGTACATAACACAAAATTGTAATTATAACCTCACGTGTTATAACATGACACACTGCACACTTAACTTGTGTACATGTGTCAATCTGAATATTTGCTAATGTTGCTGAGGCTGTAATTAAGGTGTTATGCTATATAATGAAGGAGATTAATGACTTGTGTGTAGTTCTCCCCCACACTGAAGATAACAGTTACTGTAGTATCAGGAAGGAGATCTTGGCTGAGGATCTCAAGGTCCCGGCTTCAAACGTTGATAACAATCCACCTGGGGTATCCTTTAGATTGTACATAATATAATTAAACAACTACATTTATTTAATTCACACAGTGAGAAAATGTAGTGAGGGCACAAGTCACTCCAATCCCCTTGCGGAGTTTCAATCCCATTGTAAATTAGAGGAAATGGCAGCCATTTTGAGTAAAGGAAAGTTGTGAACATAATAGAAAAGATAGGCGAAAGCAACTGATACTAAATTTGCTTTAATTACAACCTAATTTCTTCACATGCACATTCAAAGGTAGCTGGCACTGAATTTTAATTATATGGAATGTCTGAAGGACAAAAATCTGGCCATTTGTTAGTAGAATTGGTATGAAAAAAAGTCAGAACATTGTCTTAATAGTCCCATTTTTAATTAATTTGAACTCAATTTTCAACTAAATCTGTTACTTAGAGTTCACATTTCAATCTTTACTCATAAATCTCTCTCTCTCTCTCTCTCTCTCACACACACACACATGCAGCCACCCCCAGAGAGAGAGAGAGAGAGAGGCATTGCATTGCAAGCTGGATAGCCGTGGGAGGAGAGGAAGGTATGATCAATGAAAGTGACAATCCACCTACTTTTACAAAGAAGTGTCATAGGACCTTTAATATCCATGGAGAGCAGACAGGTTCTTGGTTTTGAAGGTTTCAACTGGATGATTTCTACACATGAAAGTGCTTGGAACTCAATCTACCTCAGAAGGAGCAGAACCTTCTTAGTATCCAGTCTTTGGTTTCAGGCATCCTAAGTATTGTAAGCCTGGTTATTTGGATATGAGCCATCCCCTTCCAGTAGATAAGGCTAGCTGGAATAGTGCAGGACTGAATTTTCGATTGTAGAAAGCCAGGTTCAACCAGGCTTAGGTCAGCAGGTGAAAAGACTTTGGAGCCCTCACTCTAGTTTTGTACACAACTACAAACACAGGATGACTTGGTACAAATATCTATCAGCCTGGTGGGGGAGTGGGGAGAGAGGCTAAAGACTAGAACAGAATGAGACGATCCAAGTCAGGATGAAAGTAAATTCACAAGAGGGGTGAGGCAGGCCTAGAGGGTGCTTAGACAGAGCTGTGTGAGCATGCAGCACTGGAATAGCAGTGGGGGCTTTGAGTCAGGATTAGGGTGCAGTGACAGAGCTTTGTGGGGAGCCTAGGACTGGGATAGCAGGTGGGGATTGTGTTGCATTGGCAGAAATGTGTGGGGAGTCCATGACTGAAATAGCAGGGGCGTGTTGAAGGCACCGGATTGTGGTGCACTGGCAAAGCTGTTTGTGGGAGGATGGGTGAATTTCAAAGCCCCTGTCTATTGCAGTTCCCAGCCACAGTTCATACAATTTCTTCTTTTATGGATACCAAATAAAATAAATTCAATTATCAAAAAGGACAATAACAACAACAAAGTGTACAACAACCTTAAACAATTGTTTAATGTTGGAATTTCCCATGTTTTTTTCCAGGTCTTTGAATCACTGGTGATTGTTAGGAATAAGCATTTTGTGGTCAGGCCCCAAACCTGGGTGAAATAATGAAAAAGTGTGGCTGGCCCTCATTTTCTTTTTGTTGATGATTGGAAGGGGTGTATTGCTTTAGAAGTTGATGTTATGCTTCATACAATGGCTTGGCCAGTCCTGTCCCTTAATGACCTTTCCTTGCACTTAAAAATAAGACACAAGTCTCTTGATAAAGCCTGGAGATTCTCTCTCTCTTTCCCCACCACTCACGTACAGTCTAGATATCTGGATCCTGGTCACACACTATTCTTCTTTGTTCTAGCAACTGAAGACTCCCCACAGCCCCCACATACCTCACAAATGTCCTTGAGGTGCTTGATATAGTGCCGCTCTGTGCTCATGATTTCATTGATTACGTTGGCTCTCATCTGGTCCCGGTTCTGAAGGGTTCTGCTGAGACAGAGGCAGTCGGCGCTTGGATCCAAATGGCCATTCTGTACTTCGCTGGTTCCTTCCTCTACTCCGTCTTCTTGGTTCACCCATAGCTGTGAGGAAGAAGAGGGAATGACAACACATTTATTAGTAAAAACATCAGGAGCCCAATTAATAAAAATAGACATGGTAACAATGGGAAATTATAGAGAGGAATACTGGAGAAGAAAAATAGGGTAGCAACTTTTAGCTTTCAACGCAGCTTGTCCTCTTAGATGTGGGACCCAGCCTACTCATCCATGCCTGCATTCCCTCTAGGCTAGACTCTTGCAGTGCACACTGCCTGGGGGCTGGGTCTGATCTAGAAGGCCCCTTGAAATCTGCAGGTAGTGCAGAAAGCTGTTACTCTCCTTCTGAGAAGAGAAAGCTAGAGGGGAGCATATTCTACTTCTGCCCCATGCTCTGAATGGGATGCCATTCCAGATGCTAATGATATTCAAGGTGCTGATTATTAACTGCAAAGGTTCCAATTACAATAGATAGATCTAAATTCATCCCTGCACCAGTGCAGAGCCCAGCACAGGGAACAGCATATGCCTTCCCTATCCTGAGGCTGCCACTGGATGGGGAACAGTTCAGCTGGTTAGGGCAAGGATTAGGGCTGCCCTACATTGCACTGAGATTGCCATAGCCAATATGGGCTATATGTGGTTGCAGGGTAAATAGCTAGGAATGCTCCCCAGCCACACTTCCTCCTGCCTCCAGAACATCCACTATGTCAGTGGCTCCAGCTTGAGACACTGTGGCCAGCCCTGCATCTAGCAGGAAGGCCTCCTGCACCAGGGTGTTGTTCCCTGCAGCATCTTAAAGTAGGGTTACCATTCGTCCGGATTTACCCGGACATGTCCTCCTTTTTGTGCTAAAAATAGCGTCCGGGGGGAATTTGTAAATCACTCAAAATGTCCGGGATTTCCCCCCTCCCCAGCAGAGCAGAGCGAGCGGCTGGGAGGGCTGCAGGGAAGTCCCGGGCTGGACTCCGGAGCAGCTGTAGAGGAGCCGGATCCACCCTGCATTCTGAGCCGGCAGCTCCTCCTCCCCTGCAGCCCGGCTCCGGCAGCACTGTGCAGGGCCAGGGACCGGGTTTTGTTGTGCTGGGGAGCGCAGCCACGTGTCCGGCTCGCACAGAGCCCCACACCCTGTTCTAAGCAGCAGGGTAAGGGGGCCAGGGGGCAGGAGAAGGGGCAGGGAGGTTCTGGAGGGGGCTTTTTGGGGGGAGTGGAGAAAGTTTTGGGCAGTCAGGGTACAGGTAGGGGGTAGGGTCCTGGGGGGCAGTTGGGGGGGTCTTAGGAAGGAGCAGTTAGGGGATAAGGAACAGGGAGGCTTAGGTAGGAGGTGGGGTTCTGGAGGGCAGTTAGGAGCAGGGGTCCCAGGAGGAGGCAGTCAGGGGACAAGGAGCGGGGGGCGTGAGGGACTGGGAGTTCTGGGGGGGAGCTGTCAGGGGGCAGGAGTGGGGAGAGGGATCGGAGCAGTCAGGGGACAGGGAGCAGAGGGGTTTAGATGGGTTGGGAGTTCTGGGGGGGGCTGTCAGGGGGTGGGGAGTGGTTGGATGGGGCGTGGGGGTCCCAGGGGTCTGTCTGGGGGTGGGGGTGTGGATAAGGGTTGGGGCAGTCAGGGGACAAGAGGCAGGGAGGCTTAGATAGGGGGTGGAGTCCTGGGGGGCAGTTAGGGGCAGGGTTCCCAGGAGGGGGCAGTCAGGGGACAAGGAACGGGGGGAGGGTTGGGGGTTCTGGGGGGGCGGGAAGTGGGAGGGGCAGGGGCGGGGCTCCTCCCGTCCTCTTTTTTGCTTGCTGAAATATGGTAACCCTACTTAAAGCCCCTTTGAAGCCATTTTTTTGCACCAGCATGGCTGGCTCAAAATGGCTGCAGCACAGGGCTGAATTCCCTCACTAAATAACTTTGCCTCAGGTCAATTTTGATCCCAAACATAAAATAATAATAATTTAATAAAATGAAGAAGATGGGGTCTAATCAACATTGTAAAGGTCACTGAACCAAAATAAACCCATACATAGAATCAATCCACTTTAAACAAAGACCTGTTTCAAGCATATATCATTAAAGCTCCTGTGTCTCATATAACACCATTTGGGATCTGCTGTGAAAGGAATAAATCTTTTGAAGGAGAAATAAGCTGTTTGCTTTCACCACAGGAGACTGATTTGAAAAGGGCAAAGTATGTCTGGTTCAGAAATCTGAATGTATCTGAACTTCATTTCAGTCTAAACCCTGATGGGACATTGAGGTTTAAGTAAACGTTATAATATATGATGTCTGAATGAATACTGATTTTCATTCCAATTGCTGTTTCTTCTGATCCTTATGTTTCTCATAAAAAACCTGCCTCAGTCCGTCAGAATGCCCTACCTTAACATCAAGGGATTCTGTTGCGTTAATTACACCAGGGTCCATAGCCAATTCCTGGGATGAACAGAATTTCTGAAAAGTATTTGTGGAATGAAGGTGAGTTTGGATTGGCTGGTGAACATTCTCAAAGGGTTTGGATTGGCCAGTGAACATTCTAAAGTTGCATCGCTTGCAAAAAAACAACAAATAAGGGTTGCTATGTTCTCAAAGCAGTAAACTTCCCTCTCATCACCAAATAAACATAATATGCAGTAATCTCCCAAAATAAAAAGTATATCTGGCTGATAGCTAATTCTTATGTCTTAGGAAAACCTCAGTGTGTTTGCAAGTATATGAATCTAATTGTTAATAAAAACCCTCCATTTGTTACATTTGCCGTAAACTAGAAACTGGGTAAAAGGCACTATTAATTAGAGCTGAGTGAATAATGGATTTTTTTGGTTCAGAGATCTACAAATTTACCTTAGTTGAGAGCTTAATTGTAAAAAGTCTATAAAGGTTCATAAAATGTTACAATAACCTATAACAAATGTCAATAAAAAGCAAGTCAAGTTGATTTCCATAATGAATGTTATAAACAGGTACAAAAGAACCAGATAGAGAGACTAAATTACGCCAAACAAAAAAGGCCAGGTTGATATAATTCAAGGACTATGTTGAAATCATGCTTAATTAAACAAAAACATAAACAAAAACAAAAGATGTGGAACCAGAAATTAATGAACCAAAATTGGTGTGTCAGATATTAGGCGTAATTGGTGGACAAAATAACAATGCAATGGGCTATTCTGGCCACCACTCCCATTGTGGGTCCTTAAAGAAAGAGATTTGGGGGGAGAATATAGAAAAACAGATTAAAAGGAAGAACAGACGGAGAAAGAAAGAACAGACAGAGACTACTACAGGAAGGTTCACCATCATGGTTGCCACCCTTTAACTCCCATTTCCTGGGACCCTGAACCTTCTTTTCCCTAATCCTCAGGCATGTCCTAACCAGACCAATCTAAAGAGAGAGGGATGCAGATGACACCGCCACACCTACCTGCTCCAGCTGACCCCAAACACCACCAGAGATGAAACAGGATTGGACTTTAACAATAGCAGCAAAAACAACAGCTCCAGTCCATCTTAACTTGCTTCTTCTTTTTTCCCCCAATAGGCCAGTTATTACCATCTTTGATACATCTAAGGGACTGTCCAACAAGGGTATTTTTCCCCTTCTAAAACTCTCTCCAGTAAAAGGAAGAAGGGATGTTGATAAAATTAAAGCCTTACTTAATATTTTAACGTCTCAAATGCTTTAACTGTTTTTCCTTGTCTGTATCTTTAATAACTGGTTAAAAGGATATTGAATGGTGTGTTTGGCATGGCACTAAGCAGGCTGAGGTCTCTATATACCAAACCCTGGATCTTGTGTAACACTATTTAATGCTGGACACTGACTGGGTTATTTTAACCCTTTGGTCCATATAAGCAACAAAGAGTCCTGTGGCACCTTAAAGACTAACAGATGTATTGGAGCATAAGCTTTCGTGGGTGAATACCCACTTCGTCAGATGCATGTGGGCATTCACCCACGAAAGCTTATGCTCCAATACATCTGTTAGTCTTTAAGGTGCCACAGGACTCTTTGTCGCTTTTTACAGATCCAGACTAACACGGCTACCCCTCTGATACTTTGGTCCATATATTTCATCTAAATTAATACAATAGGGCAACCCATAAAATAAAATAAATCTGGATCTTTTGACAAAAGAAGAAATAGAAAAAAAAATAGCCCCACTCTACTGATCAACTCCAATAATGCCCAACATTTAGCATATGTACAAACATTTTGTAAAACCCAAACTCAACAGAAAGGATTTTTTTTATCATGAGAACCTAACAGAAAGTTGTTTTCAAATAAATACATTTTTCTTTCCAGTGCCTCAAAAAAAAAATTGCATTACTGAGAACCTGAAAGTAAATCTACCTATAAATAAATATGAAACTGACTTCATGAATACTCATTGTCCAAGCTGAGAGAAAGGCACAACGTAAATAAAAAGCATAAAGAGTGAAGAGAAAATTTAATTTTATACTATTCTTTCTGTTTTAATAATCTAAATATTTATGGGTAAGGAATTTTGTTTCCAATATATGATTTTTAAAGGTTTCAGAGTAGCAGCCGTGTTAGTCTGTATCCGCAAAAAGAAACTGCTGAGCTAGAATTGATATGCAAACTAGACACAATCAACTCCGGTTTGAATAAGGACTGGGAATGGCTGAG